TACCTGTTTTTATACTATCCAACTTTCGGGAACCAGTGAGCTCTATTATGTAATATGTTGATTTTTTCAGCACAGTCAAGTCGGGATCAGATAAATTTGCTATGAAATAACTGCCGCTTTATTCTAACTTAAGACGAAATAGCTATAAATGCTTAAAATTGCATAGTGGTTTTATTCCAGAAATTAATTTTTGAAGTAAGTGCGTGTCTGCGTTTCTATAGAATTCTGTTTTTCTTCACTCAGAAAAATACAAAAAAAAAAAGCAAATGTTTAAGTAGACTTGAGGTGAATTTCTGACACAATGGCTTTAATATGCATGGAATATATGTCACTGAACGTTAAGTAGAAAACATTCAAATCAATCCACTATACTTGATACAAATAAAAACTGGCAGTGCTTACTTAGTCTATCAGATTTATATGATAATTTTTGTCAGCCATCAGTGCACACGGAAAATTAAGTGCTGCGTGAATAAAAGGAGATGTGAGGTAAACGTCAATGAGACAGCAACCTAACTACAGAAATAACCAAAAGACATCTAGAGGGAGACGTTGACAAAATGACATACAAGAGATAAATCTTCGACGCGACTTAGTCTCGAATAGGGAGAAAATTAAATGAAATTCTTGATTGCAAAAAACAGACCGAAAACAAACATAAGAAAAGCAATATTAAGATAAATGTTAAAAACAGTTACTGGTCTCCTTTCGTCAGTTCTAATGACTCTTTAATAAAAGAAACGACTGCTTTTATATCATTGGGTGTTGATGGATTTAGAATAATCGCGAGTTTATAGGTTAAGTTAAGTGTATTAAATTAACATACTTTTCGATGTAAGATTAAGCATACCTTTAAATATATAAATATCAGATGTTGAAATTAATTTGCTTATTTTAAACAGGAATCAAATCATCTGAAAATGAACAATATTGATTTTAATACAAAACAAAGAGGCTTTGAAAGAGGTTCAGGGAATATTCCATTGGCCATTTGCCAAAAAAAGAAAAATGTCACGTCGAAAACAATTAAAAATGTTTATGAAATAAAAGCATTTTATCAATAAATTCCTATCAAACTTGTAAAAATGAATGTACAGGTGAAAATTTTTGCAAAATTGCAACAATACGATTTTCAATATCACTGAGCGGTTCGTCCTTCCGTCTGTCCGTCCGTCGTAAGTAAATGCTTTTACGGATGGTAAAACGAGTTTCCTTTGCTTAGTTGGAACGTTGGCTGCATGGATGGAATATATAGTGAAGGAAAGGAAACCTATTGAACATGCGGTAAATAAGTCAAAGTTCAATGCCACTGTCGCAAATATTTAATTTTGAAAAATGCCTTCAATGTATTTACGTGAGCTTTCCTTGCCTAATCATGTTTAGGGGCCACAAATCACATATTTGTTTAGGGGCCAGCTGAAGGACGCCTCCGGGTGCGGGAGTTTCTCGCTGCATTAAAGACCCATTGGTGGCCTTCGGCTGTTGTCTGCTCTATGGTCGGGTTGTTGTCTCTTTGACACATTCCCCATTTCCATTCTCAATTTTAATTGCAACGAAACTCACACAGACGAAAGTTGTACATGAGGGAGGTATCCTTTCGATTTAAGGGTCAATCGGTCAAAGTATGAAGACAATGATACTAAGAATAATTTTAAGGGATGGTTATCTGGTGGTAACTTATATTTACCATGCCGAATTGGAAGAAAACTTATGCATATGGAAGATTTAATAAAAGGAACGATGCCTTTTCAATTTTGGTCAAAATGTACGTCATAGTTAGGGTAGTAACAAGAGTTTCCTTTGCTTAATTTGAATAAATTGTATACTGCTGCATGATATTGACAAGGAGAAAACCTATTGAATTTGGGGACAATAAGTTCAAGGTTACTGTTACTATAGATAGAATTTAACCTAATCAAAGGGCAAAGGTCTGTGTAACAGACTCTTAACATAGACAAATTGTATAAACAACTTTTGCAAATTGCTGTTTCTTTTTGATTTCTTGTATTTCACCTGTTTAATTTAAAATAACCTATAGATGTAGATGTGGAGCAGGATCTGCTTACCGTTCCGGAGCCCATGAGACCACCCGGGTTTTTGGTGGGGTTCGTGTTGCTCAATCTTCAATTTTCTATGTTGTGTTTTTATACGACCGCAATTTTGGCGTTCGTATAATGGTATGGCGTTGTCAACGCCGTCGTCGTCATGTCATCTGAAGAAATTTGGTTTCCACACAATAACTTGAATATAAGTGTATGGATCTCTATGAAATTGTTGCACATGGTTCCATACCTGAAAAGGAAGGTTGGGATTGATTTTGAGGGTTATTGTCTAAGCTGTTTAGGAATTAGGGGCTAAAAAGGATCCAAAACAAGCATTTTTCTTCTTTCAGGACAAAAACTTGTGTATAAGTGTATGGATCTCTATGAAATTTTACCACAAGTTTTCATATCTCAAAAGGAAGGCTGTGAATGTTTTTGGGAGTCATGGGCCAAACCGTTTAGGAATTAGGGGCAAAAAGGGGCAAAAACTAGGATTTTCTGGTTTCCGGACAATAACTTGAGTATAAGTCAATGGATTTCTATGAAATTGTACCACAAGGTTTCATACCAAAAGAGGAAGGTTGGGATTAGTTTTAGGGGTTATGGCCCTTAATATTAAGGAAAGAGGGGACAGAAACAATACTTTTCTAATACTTTGTATAATTGCTTATTTCTTGACCAATTTCAATGGCTGGAATTCTTTGGCTTTTTTAATATGAGGAATCTAACCGTGCATTTAGATTTTTGATTTTGGGCCCCTTTATTAAATTGGTCCACATTGAGATCCAAATGGTCAAAAACTAAACATTTGTTTGATTTCAACAAAAATTGAATTCTTGGTTTCTTTGATATGCTGAATCTAACCGTGTATTTAGATTTTGGAATTTTGGCCCATTTTCAAATTGGCCCAAATCGGGGTCCGAAATTAAACTTTGTTTGATTTCAACAAAAATTGAATATATGGGGTTCTTATATATGCTGAATCTAACCATGTATTCAGATTTTGGATTTAGACCTCATTATCAAATTGGTTCACATTGAGGTCCAAAGGGTCCAAAATTAAACTTTGTTTGATTTCATCAAAAACTTAATTCTTCGGGTTCTTTGATATGCTTAACCTTACTGTGTAAGTTTTTTTATGAAGCGAACCCTCTTTTAAAAACTTAGCTAATTTTGTCCATCAATACATAATAAAATTATATTCTTGGTGTACTTGGATATGCTGAATATAACGGTGTATTTAGATTTTGAATATTGGACCATAATAGATAAAAGGGCAATGTCAAATTTATCAGTTCTTTGACCACACTCATTCTGTGTCAGAAACCTATAATGTATCAATATTTAATCGCAATCCAAATTCAGAGCTGTTTCAAGCTTGAATATAGTGTCCATACTTGCCCCAACTGTTCAAGGATCGACCTCTGCGGTCATATCAAGCTGCGCACAGTGGAGCATTTTATGTATATTGTCGTTTGTCTTTTGGTCTTTTTGTTTTTTCTTTTATTGCCATTGCGTCTCAGTTTATTGTCGACTTGTGAGTTTGAATGTCCATTTGGTATCTTTTGTCCCTCTTTTATACAACGACGGGTGCCACATGTGGAGCAGGATCTGCTTACCATTCCGGAGCACATGAGATCACCCCCAGTTTTTGGTGGGGTTCGTGATGTTCAGTATTAAGTTTTCTATAATGTGTTTTGTTACTTTTGTATACAATTGTTTGTCTTTTGGTCATTTATCGTTTTTTGCTATGGCGCTGTCAGTTTATTTTCTACTTATGAGTTTGAATGCCCCTTTGGTATTTTCCGTCTCTCTTTCACACAAGTTTTTGAAACCTATCATTTTTAAGGTCAGTTGATCAAAGGTAAAAGTCACAGTTGCTAAGTATAGTTATGAGTTCTTAATCCCAAATACAAAATTTTGTTGCAATAATTTTCCTTTCTTGATAACTGAGTCCTTAAATAGTTGCGTGATTATGGTGATAACTCGAGTATGTCATCATGAATTGTATCTTCTGCGAGATTTTTCTACATCAAGGGTGCCTGCGGGATAGAAATATGGTAATTCTTGGACTTCTTCCAGCCAGCAGTAAAACCCCTGCCTGACTGTATGATTCATGTGATACATTTTGCCTCTAAATTTTAACAAGTAGTTTGAAGTTGCTTTCATTAATTTATAATCATGTTTTGGGTTGCCCAACGCTTCCGCTAACCGGAGATAGTGGTGGAACATCACAGCATAAGAACAACTATAAAAATCTGGAAAAGGACTGGATACAAAGCACAAAAACAAATACCAAAGACGCTGAAGACACACTATACCGATCTGAGAGTACTCAAAGTTACTGAAAGATAGTTGAAAGCCAATAATAACAAAAAAGTTGGTTTTCCTGTTTGAATTGTTTTACACTAGCCATTTTGTATCCTTTTATAGCTTGCTGTTCGGTGTAAGCCAAGGCTCCGTGTTGAAGGCCGTACTTTGACCTATGATTGTTTACTTTTTACACATTATGACTTGGATGGAGAGTTGTCCCATTGGCACTCATACCACATCTTATTCATAATAAAACAATCGTGTTTTCAAGGCAATATATCAATCAGTACATATCCAATGTATTAAGTGTATGTTCATAGATGTACTTCTTGTTAGTTCGATGTTTGAGATGATATAGAGAAAATTAAAAAGTTAAACACTAGCACACTAATCTTATTCAAGTCTTAATTCAGGAAGCTCGTCAATTGATGTCTTATCTTAAGTTTATTTTGCTGTTTTAGAGAATTTGGAACTGATTGTAGATCTTTGATAAACCAAATTTCTAATTTATTCACAACTGTTAGAGACTGGGGTAATTTAGGAGCTTGAAATGTTATATGTAATTATTTAAGTTGGGTTCCCGTCTCATTGGCGTATACCCTACATCTTTTTTATTCTCACAAATGGAAAAATACAGATAAAACATGGATTTTATCCTTTTATACACAAAAAACAAAAAATACAAAGAGAAAACACTACATGCTAACATAAGGAGTTGTCTAGGTTATTAATGTAAATAAATGTTAATTAAAGCGGCAACATTATATCAAACGTCTATGAATGTTTTATATCACAATATGTGGTAATACAAAAGTTAGGTAATCACATTTTCTTTATCATTAGTCTTGTTGATTTTAAAGTATACAATTGCCGTTTCAACGTCATCCATGTGACTCCATCAGCAAAGGAGACACCTTTCTCGAAGTCACTGTTTCCTTCTAACAATTTGTTTTCAAAAATTTTAAATGAGAACATTAAAAAAAGAGTCTATGAATTTTTCTATCAAAAAGGTGTGTGTTATCACGCTGGTCGTTTACAATTTCTTTATCATTAGTTTTGTTGATTTTAGAGAATAGTGATATCCTTTCCACTTTTCCCATATGACTCCATCAGCATAAGAGCCCATTCCACCTGATAAGTATGCCCCGTTTAGATTTGATTGGTGACATGCTAGATACCACCATGCTCCTTTAAACCTGACTGCACAACTAACATTAGCATATTTGTCATTATCTCTGTCGTACGTAGAAAACATATTTCCGGTATGGAATGTCAAACTGTCTCCTGAATAGAAAAAAATATGTTAGGTTAGCATTTTTTTGTACATTTTCCCTTAAATTAATCTATTACATTTTGCATACTTTCGGAGAAATTATTTCGTGAACATTCAGCGTAGGGAAAATTTACTGTAGCAACTATGATTGCAAAGTAGTGTTACTTAACAGTGGTGCGAAATTTGGTTTATACCGTGGATCCATTAATATTGCATGTGTATTACATCTCGTTTAAGAATACATTCTGAATGCCAATTACCACATTCAGGTATAGTATGTAACTTACTCCCAATGAATGAGCTTTCTATTGTTTATTGTTTAACAATTATGGGAACGACCGTCGCGAACATCATTCTGCCATACTTAGTATGAACAACAAAAACTGGTTCAAACTGAACTCACGCGAATGTAAGTAGTCTAAGCAAATATAAACAAAACATACTGTCAAAACTGAACTCACGAAAATATCTGATTATAAATCGAGTATTTGGCTATTTTAGGTCCTTTTTGGTCATATAGCTCTTCAACTGTTTTGGTTTTTATCTTGCCTTTCAGATGTTTGGCTTTGAGCGTTCCTGATGAATGTAAATCAAGAAAAGCACTTCGGACGCGTAGATCGATACCTCTGCAGGTGGATTATCAGTCCCCGAGGGTATAATCAGCTCAACAGTTAGTACTTCGGTATACTGACATGATTTATACCAAACCTTTCTAAGATTGTCCGTTTATAAATTTTGAAATTATAAAGAAACTAAGGTTTCAACTCCCACAGGCAAAGTCGACCTTAAATGGATTTGGCTATCTTTAGGTCCTTTTTGGCCATACATGTATATCTCTTCGATTGTTTCGGTTCTTATCTTGGCTTTCAGATGTTTGGCTTTGAGCGTTCCTGATGAAGGTAAATCCAGAAAAGCGCATCGGACGCATGAAATTTAAAACGTGTTGTTTACATTTTGTTGAAAGCAACAACTGTTTCGAACTTACATCTGAGAATATTTAGACAAAAAATGTAACTGGTATGTCCACCTTCAAGCAGCAAATAAACTTTAAATTAAATTTTTGAATGCGGTGTATTTGACGACATACATCAAACTAATCTTAAAATTCAAGAAATATCTTATAAGGCCATATTGATTCACTGATGCTTAAAACAAGACCATTCATAAACATATATCCTTAGTTTTCAGTATAGAAATTGTTCACTTCGATTAGTTTCAAGCGCTTCCCGTAGTTTTTTGTTTTGTTTGTTTGTAACTATTTTTTTTAAACCGTGTTAACTGAACTACTTTCTTAGCAAATAAAGAACTTGGTGGCTTGATTTCACGTTTCACAAACAATTTAAGCATATAAACATTATTTGCAACCGATTGTTGTTGAATAAGAAACCAACATAGTTAAAGATTTATAAAGATTGAACACATTTTATCAGAACTTGAAAGATGTGCAATCATCTCAATCAAAGATACAAGGCTTACAATTTTGTAAACCAGACATGCGTTCCGTCTACAAAATACTTACCAGACTTATGAGTTTGAATGTCCGTTTGGTATCTTTCGCCTCTCTTTTACCAGGGACGCTCGAATAAAAAAAGGTTGAAAGGCCACATAAAAGTTTAAAGTTGAAGAGCAATGAGGACCAAAACAAATAAATGACCCTGACATAGTGTATAAATAATTCAAACGAGAAAACCAACGGCCTGATTTATGTACAAAACAGGAAATGAAACACAAAAACGATAAACATCAACAAACAACAATAACTGAAGAACAGGATACCGAATGCACATACAGAATGTAAACCCTGTAAACTGGGAAAACACAACATCAGAACAAACTATAACCAGGGGATCTAAAGAGCCTGTGTCGCTCACCAAGGTCTGTGTGCGTCTTCAACAATGGACACTCCAACATTTTGGACTAGAATATAGATAAATCCTCTTTTTTGTTGATATTGAACTGCTTGTTTTTTCTGTTTAGTTTCTCTCTATCTTCTAAAGATTTTGCTCAAAACACAAAAATAAGGTAGAAATCGTAATTAAAGGGCATTAACCCCAGAAAAAGACAACTGACAATTCATCAATGCTAACGTATTTGCAGATATTGTCTTGCTGATCATCTTTGTTTTATTTCATTATTCAAAATAATAGGCAATAACACAAACATTTGATAAAAATCGTCATTTAAGGACAAGAAATCAAATAAGGCGTCAATTTCGGTAATTCGTCTTATTTGTAGGTCTTGTCTTGCTGATCATTTTTATGTTTTAAAGTTTGTATCTATCTGTTATAAAAAAAGTTCAATTACCAGCGGGCATGTTTGACTTGTTTTCAGATTATGTCTCACTGATCAATTTTACTTTTTAAAGTTTCTATTTATCTAAAATGCTGGTCAAGTTAATAGGCAAATACGCAAAAAAATCGTAAAAATCATCATTTAAGGGGAATAACTCAAATAAGGACTGGACTGATGATTTAGGACATGAGGCTTTATTTGTAGATATTGTCTTGCTTATAATTATTACTTTTTAAAGTTTCTTTCTATTATACTTTTCAATATAATACATTGTATGTATGAATAAAAAAAAAAGGGCAAAATTCGTCATTTGAGGGCAATAACTCTCACAGAAGTCATCTGACAGCTGAACAATCCTGCCGTGTCAGATTTACTCTATCTATAGCAGTTTCAAGATAATAGACAAAGCTGGCATTTTACTGATATGTTCTATTTTCAGCCATGTAAGCCATGTTGGTTGGCAAACAGAGTCATCGGGCACATTTTCAAACTAGATACGCCAAGTTTAACAAAATTTGACCTAGTTGTTTCAGGGAAGACGATTTTTGTAAAAGTTAATGGATGACGAACGACGGACGCCAAGTGATGAGAAAAGTTCACTTGGCCTTTTGGATTAGGTAGGCTTAGAATTATTATAACCCTTATCAGACACTATATCAAACAACCGAACAACGGAACGAATGGAAACAACTGCCATATTCCTAATTTGGTAGATGCACTTTCCCCCAAAAAATGGTGGGCTGAATCAGGCTTTACCGTTGGTTTTCCTGTTTGAATCGTTTTACACTAGTCATTTTGGTGCCCTTTATAGCTTGCTGTTCGGTGTGAGCCAAGGCCGTACTTTGACCTATACTTGTTTACTTTTTATACATTGTGACTTGGATGGAGAGTTGTCTCATTGGCACTCATACCATATCTTATTTATATTTATATCAAGCTAAACCTCCAATTTGTATGATAGTTGTTTATTGTACCGTTATATTGAAAAAATTGGGAGAGCATGCAAAACAGACATAATTGATTTACGTGACAATAGTTGGGAACCAGCAGCCTAAAAATACATCAGAGACACACAAACACAACTGACTTAAAAATACATACAAACATACAAATAAATCTGAGACCAAACTAATACCAACAAACGAGTATTTTTTTTACATTTAGAACAATATTCTTAAGTATACAAATTAAGGCGAAGTGTACGTAATTAACTACTCCACAGAATTTTTTTAAATTTTACATGTGGATTCTGCTTGTAAAAATACATCGCACAATAAAATAAAAAAAAGGGGTAACCGTTTTCGTTTTTCAGATACAAGCTGTTGAAATTAACAGCATGATAAGCCAAAAATACAAAGGATATATAGGGAAAATCATAAAAATCGGCAGATATTTTTACTTTATCAAGATTTTCTAATTCGTTGCTCCACAGAATTTTTTTAAAAATCGATATGCGATTCAAAAATGAACGACGAACCCATTGGTGCAAAGAAAGTCCTTAGCAACCGTGCTAGTTTTCAAGCTATATCCTGTGGAAGTTTGATTTCTAGCGGAAAGAATAAAAACAATCGGCGACGTTATTGATGTCTACTGTAACGTCATCACAATTTCTACTCTATAACGCTATTATACCGTAGAGTGTCGTAACAAAATCGTGAGTGTGTATAACCCATTTTCCTAATTATTGCAAATGCTCAAGCGTTAATTTCTGTGTCATTTGGACTCTTGTTGAGAGTTATCTTATTGGCAATCATGCCACATGTTCTTTTTTTATATTGTAATGTTCTAATAATTATGAATCAAATATCAAGTTTAAAATTGTCCCAGTAAACACAGCGTTGACAGAATGATTCTATACGTATTTTAATAATCGGTTATAATATTGGGATCGCGTATACACGTCTTTTTTAAAATCTTATTTCTGCATGTTTGTATTTTAAAAAAGTGAATATAATTTGCTGCATCTTTTCATCCTCACCACTTCCGGCGCTATTCGAGGGATTGCGCACAAAGCCCATTTTTTGTCAGGTTCACACGCGTGCACGTGACACAACTCTGCAATTTTATTTAAAAAATTTCCTGTCTCGATCGCTTTCCCTTTTCTTTAACTACACGACAAAGCATGATTTAATGTTTGCTGGAGATTTTAAGTAAAAAAGGAAATAATTTTTTGTTCCATAATTTGTTTAATATCCACATGCACGACTCCCGAAAAATAAGAAAACTGCATCTGCATATTATCTTGAGAATTTTTATGACTGTAATAAGGTCAAAAGAAGAACCCGCATATGAATTTTAGCAAAGTAAAACAGATCGGAGTTTTAACTTCATGTAGCACAGATCATTCCCAGTGTTAGCCTTAGCATTGCGTATATTGTGTATAATGCTATAGCATTGTGTATTGTGTAATGCTAAAGCTTTGTGCATAGTGATATGCTATATATTAATGTACTGGTGTAATGCTATAAGAATGTACCAAGAGCGATGCTATACGAGTTTACCTAGTATAGTGCCATACTAATTGTTCCTGTATATAATGCAAATGAATTGCAGTTTTGTTAATATAATATGAACATAAGGAGCTGTGGTATGATTGCAAATGAGACAACTATCTGCCACGTTTAAGGTAGATCGGGTGTCTTTTTCTGAGCGTCCGTTCTGATCATGTTGATTGCAAAAACTTTTTTGTTTTAAAAATATTTTACCAAGTATCGTTTAATATACAACAAAATACTTAAAACTTGAAGTTTAAAGATTGAACTATCAAGAAATTAAGTGTCGTAAAGTATATTTAAAATTTTTGGGTTTTTTTTCAAGAAAATAAGGCCCGTGACCTCTTATTTTTATTTGATATTTCGGAGTTATTAATGAAAAGCAATTCTCTCATCGAATTTTACCCAATTCTATCGTTTAATGTTTCCGCAATAAGGAAAACTTAAGTTTCCCCTATATCAACAATATAAAATAACCCAAATTTCGTTAATTTCAATGTGTTATTACGAAAAAACAAGGTCCGTGATCCCCAGTTTTTATATTGAAATTAAAAATTACATTGACAATGAAGTCTTACAGTAGTTTAAGAAAAATCTATCGTCCAATATTTAGACAACCCAGCTACCTTAAAGGATGTGGATGTAACCAATTGTTATAGGCAATCATACGGCCTTCAACAATGAGAAAATCCATACCGTATATAGTCGCCGGGTTATAAAAAGCCCCGACATTGTAGAACTATTATTCTTCACCCCTACCCCTTCTTCCCCTACCTTATACTACTGCTGAATGATACACAAAAGCACAACAAAAGAGAACAAATTTCGCTATCCCTTCGAAATCGGAATTTGATTAAGAAAAAATAACACGTTCTATTTTTATCATACATGTGTAGTTTCAGTTTCAACCATGGTTCTAAATTTAGATTTTACTTTCCCCAAAAATTGCGGACGGAATAGAAGACACCTGTTTATTTTCTGCACCTTGAAAACTGAGATTTGGATGACATAGATTTTACATATTCTGAGATAAATGTCATAGTGAACAATTCTTAGTTTCTGAGTGTGTAATGTTTTGTGGACGGAATCTGATGGGTTTTTTTTTTTGCTGTTGGCTTTTTCTTCGGCTTATAAATGTTGTACTAGTGGTCGATTACCCCTTAGTATCTTTTATACGTTTTACATAAATAATAAAATATATAACATCATAAAATTTTCAATTGCATAAAAACGGACATGCCAACGTCTTTCTTGTTTAAGACACAAATTCACATGCAATATAATTATTCGTTACCTACAATTTTACGCTACAGGATCTGCAGTACACTGTGCATTTCATTCAAAACTATGGTTTTTCAAAAAATATTGTGGTGTCAATTCTGGTTTGATTTTAATGAATTTGATACGAATAGAAGCAGAATTGTCACTGGTTTATTTTTTATTTGGTTATAATTTTGTTGTTTAGGCGTTTTTACCTTCTGTTGAAATAAACACGAGTCGTATTGTGTACCTGCTCCTGCGTGTCTAAAACAAAAACAGTGGTAATAGAGTCAGACTAACTCACAATAGGATACTCAGATTTCTGATTGGAGTCATTCTAATTATTTCTTTGAAGTTTTGAGATAGCACATGAATACTTGTTTGAATTCATGATAGACCGCACGAAGTCATTTCTCTTTCATGTGCCCATTTTTCCTTTCTTAGAGTAGGGGAGATAACCCGCGTAACTAACGACGCACGTTTTTTATCCTGAATTCCGCTAGAGGCGTGCAATTACGTACACTTCGCCTTAATTCAGATTTTTTAAAAAGATTTTCAGACTTGGAAAAAAACCCCAGAAATTGGTGAGACTCACCAGCATTTCCTTCGTAGCCGCTTACTTCCAATTTATAGTTTGTTGTTGCGTCTCCTATGTAGAATTTAATGTATTTAGCCCATGCAGTAGTTCCTTCAAAGTCCTCTAAGTCTACTCGTAGATGATAATTACCAGTTGCGACTATTGTATGAATTTTTGCATTTCCTGTTAAATTATTATAAATTACTTGATCAAAACTCTATTTGCCAAAAAGCTGTAATTGACCCTGTAATTAGAAATACGTTCTCATACATGTAGTTATCTTTCTTAGGGAGAACATACATTTTCATTGACAATGAAGAGCTAGCGGAGAGAAGAAAATATATCATTTTTTTTTAAATCTTTTAATTAAAATTAATTTTTTGTTAAGCTGAAATGTTTTGATATCTGTAGTTATTTTCAATTAAAAAATGGTTCAAAATTCTATAAATCACTTTCAAATTTTCATGATTTGCATTAACATAACGAAACAATTTGTGAAAGTGTGCAATAACAGGATCAAATCGGTATTTGGCAAATATACTATTTCAATTGATAAGGTCTGGTTAAGGGGGAAGACTTTAGCTAAAGGAGAATGTAATATTCGGTCTCATCGATACTTTTAACAATTCGTGACAATCGGCTAACCCTGGGTGACTCCGCTTCGCTCCATGGAGGTAAGGAATCGGCCGAGTTGTGACGAACGCAATTTGTGACAAACAGAATTAAGAAAGTCTGTGTTACTTAGAAGCTTACAATAAATTTATTTATTAAATAAGTGATATAAGCATATCGGTAAATTTCAAGAGTATTGTCCCTTAATCAAGGAATATCTTGGTCAACAACCATGTTATTGAAGGATGTTCTACTTTAAATCTTTAAATCAGGTAACTTACAAATCTATTTCGCATTATTAGAATTTGCTATCATGATTTCCTTGATAGAGGGTTGCTGCTCACAAAGAGGCTATTAAACCAAGAGTTCTAAGTGGTTAAGTTGAAATCATCCATTCGTAAATTTTACGGACACCATCACGAGTTGGTTGACCGTTACGGAATATCCGTTTCACAGATGATAGCGAATATGTTCCTTATGTCGTAACTACAATCCCGTCCCCTTTTCCCGAATGTGACCTACCGAATTAGACTTATTACCGGGTTTGTACTAACATGAGCAATACGACGGGTGCCACATGTGGAGCAGGATCTGCTTACCATTCCAGAGCACCTGAGATCATCCCTAGTTTTTGGTGGGGTTCGTGTTGCTCAGTCTTCAGTTTTCTATGTTGTTTTTTGTGTACTATTGTTTGTCTGTTTGTCTTTTTCTTTTTTAGCGATGGCGTTATCAGTTTATTTTCGACTTATGAGTTTGAATGGCCATTTGGTATCTTTCGCCCCTCTTATACTCGTAAAGTCATTAAACAGATTAATATATGTAAAAGAAAATGGTTGCCATGACACCTGCTATTGGAGTACACTATACATACAACATTGAAATTATAATGTTATAACATAAAGCAATAGACATAATTGATTGGATGGAGAGTAATATTATTGAAGTTATTAGATTTGCGATATAATTAGTAATTAATCATATGTGTCGAATATTTTCTTTAACTTATAAAAATTAAAATGATGAAAAAAGATATACAGGTTATCGAGACATATTTAAAATGTGAATTAAAACAAATAATTGGATCAGGTATAAACTTTGTCAACACCTTAACCCTGGTCCACAAATGTTATTTTTATTTGTTATCTATCACCCCCGGTTTTTGGTGGTTTTTGGTGGGGTTGTTTCTGCTAAGTCTTTAGTTTCCTTGTAGTTTTTAATCGAAATATGTTGGTCTTTTCGGCGTTTTTCGTTTTTTTGGCATGCTATTGTCGCTTTTTTCGAAGTTATTGTCAATGAGCATTTTAATTGTATAAACCTAGCCAGAAATTGTGTGTAAGATTCCCAAATCCTTCTTCATAAGCGGCCCATCCTCTGTAAAAGTCTGTACTGCCGTCTAATCTCCTTTGGATTACCTATGGATATTAAACACAATTAAAGAATCTGTATATACATTTTGAATGAAGTCCTACGTCAAATATAAAATTTTGAAATTTGAAAAGTTTGTGTTTTTTTTTTATTTTCTTGAGGGGAAGGGGCGTGTTGAAGAAGATTATTTTCATGGCGAACAAAAATCAAACTTAATACATTTCTTAACAGATATATTCCTTTTTGTCTAATTTTATTTCCATTCCAATCGTACACAAAGCCTAAAATGTCAGTTGTCAGATGATTACACATTACTTTTGCCGTCCAACTATTTACAGCCCAAAGACAATAACAATGTTTTGCGTAATTTTTTCGAAACATCGAAATACAGTCTAAAATCGAATGCTTTGTTTATTTTGCTTTATAATGGATATCATTAATGAGGATAAAACTTTATAAAATTGGTGCATCGGAAGCGCATTTCTGGATATGCCTTACCTAGAATTTTAAAGTCAATGATGTATAAAACCTTGAATACGTGTGGAGCTATATGACCGAAAGGGAGCTAAATAGAATAGCCAGATTATTCTAAGTTCAGCTTTGCCAGAAGGAGAAGGGTCATTAGTTTTGTAATTACTATTAAATATATCAAAGGACAATTGAAGAAAGGTACATTACTTATCATTAGTGATATCTTCTGGGACAATCATAAAATTGAGAATGGAAATGGGGAATGTGTCAAAGAGACAACAACCCGACCATAGAACAGACAACAGCAGAAGGTCACCAACAGGTCTTCAATGCAGCGAGAAATTCCCGCACCCGGAGGCGTCCTTCAGCTGGCCCCTAAACAAATATATATACTAGTTGTGAAGCTGAAGCTGAAGGTGGACATATATTGTTAGATTGTTAATTGAGTATGTTAAGGTTATCAACCTGGGACTTTTTTTTCATTTACATTTCAAAAAATGTTTTGCAAATCTCCACCTTCAGCTTTAGCGATTAATTACTAGAAAAAAGAACCAGAACTATGAATACTGACCTAAATTGAATGTTGTGTGAAATTTTGTATTAAAATGGATATAATCACTGAAAATAACATTTTATAACTTTAGTGCGTCAGAACGGATCTTCTAGATGTACCTTCATCATGAATGCTCCAACCATAACTGTACCATAATATTTTTCTTACAAATACCATGGGTGAAATTGACACTATTTTACATTAATAAACTCTACCGTTAGACCGTACATGTATATAGGGTAAAATGATTAAAACAAAAGTCTTAGAAAAATCTTCGACACAGATAGATAGATCCAAATGGATCCCGTAAAATGAGACAAATTTCGGAGAGAGAAAGATAATCTTCTGTAAACATATGATCTATACCTAAGCATTTTGAATTTATACAATGTACTTTAAAAAAGAAAGTTAAACTAACAAATGGTAAATGTTCATTTTTTTCAGAAATGTTTATGGAATTCAGTAACCACATCAAGGACAAGGGACTAACGCTGTAAATTTTTAAAACGAAAGATTTGCAAAACATTTTTTGAAATGTAAATGAAAAAAAAGTCCCAGATTGATAACCTTAACATACTCAAATAAACAATCTAACAATATACTGTTAAAAACTGCTCAAAATTCATAATTTTGGCGCGCATTCATTATTGCTAAGTTAAACAATGGACAATATTGCTTGATTTATTATTGAGATTTCAAAAAATGATGCATACAAACAATTTGCTTTTCAAATTTACAGTTTAAATTGAAAGTCGATATTTTCGTGAAATCTCGTCGCAAATTTTGCAATAATCAAAACACTGTAAAAATTTCTGCATTTACAATGCTCAAAATGAATAAGCTTTTATTCTTGAAATTCATTGTCTCATTTGGATTTCATTCAACGTTTAGTAACAGTGAGAACTAAATATCAGCACTTTTTTTTTACCAGTTTGCCATTGCGGACAGTACCTATCGACCCCTTTCAAATGATGTTCACAGTTCGTTCTTATAGTGTACTGTTACACCACTGTCCAAGGTTAGGAATGATTAAGCGGTCTTCAATATGTTCATCACCGCCAAATTTGTTATATGCCTCTTCGAAGCCATTAGCATATAGTCCATGTGTTGCGTTGGTTGCTGTGTGTCATTTTTCGTTTTATGCTATTATCTTAAATCAAGCCGTTGGTTTTCTCCTTTAATAGTTTTTGAATCACGGAGTCATAACAGCTGGGTATTATAGTATGTGGGTTGCTCATTGTTAAAGACTGTACGGTGACCTGCAATTACATCTATTTCCTTTGATCCTCTGCAAAAATTCATCCCATTGGCAATTGTATTATATATCCTTATCTTTGTAAGCAAAGACAGGATCATATATCAGGTGATTCAAAGGATAAAGTGTATCATGCGAGTTAGTCACACTTCTCACGAATCAGTTAGGTAGGAACTTACTGTCCAGCCGCCATCTTCTGTATCCATTTCACAATAGACATCGAACTTTATAGACGGCATTGGATGAATTTTGTAGACACCTGATCCACAGCGGCGTGGTATACCAGCACAGTCACGTGGTGGGTACAAGACTTCCGACAAGAAAATCAAAACAGGTATAATAAAAAAAATAGCGTATCATAATTTTTAATATCTGTTAATATCACCAACAAAATAAATAGAGGAGTATATGTAAAAAAGTGGCAAAAGATACCAACAGGACCTTTAAAACTCATAAGTCCAATTTCCGATTGTAACATTTTGACTGAGCGTGGATTCGTATGTGTTTCATGCATATCAGGAGATGCTTACCCTGTCCACTCACTCAGTCATGCTCCTTTGGGAATTCATGTGATTTCCATTGTTAATTGTTTGTTATATTGATTTGGATCTAAATCGATTAACGAGATTTAAACATCGGGAAATTACTGTTGCCTTCATTTACGACTATTTGTATATGTATAAAAACGTTGAGCAAAAGTTATACCTCTCTACTTCTCTTTAAAACTAAAGTAATTGACTGTTTTCTTTGACTTCTAGTTTAGTACTGCCCCTTGGTGTTGGCTATTTCAATGTCTTGGATACGGGTTGTCACCTGAAGTCAAACGTCCCTATCAAGTCTCAAAAGGAGACATTCGATCGGCAGAAGATTTGGACTAATAAAACTTGATTTGTGTAAAGCTTTTTTAGGTTGGCTTTTTTTTCTTTTTTTTGGGAGTTTGATTTGTATATTGAATTATATATAAATTTACTAATTTCTGTATTTCTTATTTATTTTGTTATTCATTTGTGTATATTGTTATTGCTTTTTTATCCTTAAATGCCTATCATTATCAATAAATCAGAAATAAGATAAAATTTACCGCGTTCTATACAACAAAACAGAACTTTCCAATCTCCATAGTCCGTACAAACAGCAAATGGGCGTCCTACCAAAGCAATTCCTTCTCTACATTTAAAACTTATTCCAGTGCCGAGGTTTTTATATAACCCAAATGTCTCTGTGCAAACAGCATCTTGTATTTCTGGCAGGGGTCCTTCACAATCTGCATAAAGTAGGACTTTTTGTACATTTATAATTACATGTATCAGCTGATAGCATAAATGACACTTACAGAAGTATGATAAAGTTTACAGCTAATGCAATATATTGTAGTTATTGCTAATCGTTCATCGTTCTTATACATAGTTGATTCAGTGTTAGGTTTGACTAGATGGAAAAAAGAATTCTTATCTTTTTGTGATTTAGAAAATAAAATGAAAGCTAATAATACATAATAATCTTTGATTATTATTATTTTGAAAGATATTTTTTTCATAGAATCATCGATTGTTTCATGGTCTATGAATTCAAGGGGAAAACATGGGGTTTTTGTTTACTTTTGCAAATAAAAGTCTAAGTTAAAAGAAACAAATCTACAATGTCCAATATTCATATACACGTATAGATAAATGTAGATGTAACGCACAGTTATCATATGACGATAAAAGGAGTAGGCCCAGTAAGACCTCTTTTTGGCCCCAAAATATAGCAGTTTTACAAAATTGTTAAAATGTAAATTTTTAGCTATTTACTGGAAAGAAGAGTACTTCTGTTACATAAATATGGGCTGATTTTGACAATACAATGCACATGTATCGGGTACTAGCATCATTAAGTCATGCTAAATTACTGAAATCTTCGAAATTTCAGCATTTTGGTTAATTTTTAGACGGTTTCCGTCTGAAATGGAAGTGGCCGCATTTGTGTTCATTCTTAATATTCAAATGTAAGTTGTATTTGATGATAATACATAACATATATAAAGGTTCAGAATGAACACGGATGCGGCCACTTTCATTTTTGACAAAAACCATCTGAAAAGTGACATATTATGGCATATTTGATAGATTTTTCATATTTAAGCTTGAATTTGAGCGTCTTTAATGACAAAATCAGTTCAAATCTTTCTCTTAAACTAATTGAATCGACTGAAGTAGACAATTAAGTGTTTAAAAAGTGTCCAAAATGTTTCATCAAATGAACCTGAATTTTGAGGCCAAAATCGGCCTTTACCGGACCTACTCCTTTACATTTATTGAAGATTATTTCATATAATTTAAGTGTATCGGATTAAACTATGTTTAAAACATCTTGTGAAAAATGCGGGGAAGCCCCGAAGAAGAAAAGTTCTTTGCAGCTAATTTATTTTGTTTCCTTTTAATTTTTTTCGCTCTTTCAAAACATTTGCATTGAACAAATAATTTTCTGAATTGAATTATTTTTTCATTCAATAAAAAAAAAAAAAAAATATAAATATTTTAAGTTCTTATATTTACTAGCAAGCTGTTTTAATCATGAAACATACATAGTCGGGCAGCAGGGAAAACATGTAAAAACATTGAACTATTATACAATAGATGACTTTCAATGATTTTGATACAAGGATTTATCAATCCCAGATATATGATATTCACTAAGGCTAACTACCGAGGCTGAATGTTATATCTCTGGGGTTGATAAATGAGTTTCTTTCATTCTTAGCCGATTTATCCTTTTCCTGACCTGTTGAGTTTCATTTAATCAACGTTTGGTTCGTTTGATCTCAGTTCTTCATTGGTCAAAATTCAATTATGTCGTAATTTTTTTTTCTTTTCTTTGAATTTTCTATTGTGACGTCATAAAAAGGCGACAATGTCTGATGATGTTACATACAAAGTAAACATCTTTTTGCAGATAATCGAAAAATAAGGACTAAATTTGACTTTTTATCGTCTAAAAATCATAAGAAAAAAAGATTCTGTCACCTAATCCCGACAGTTAAATTTTAAATCTGAAAATTTAATTGTCTCGAGTGGAGAAATATTGTATCACACTCGATGCAGTGGTAAAATCTATATGTATCAACTACTAACAGGTGTTATGTCCGGTTGCATACGAAAAAGGGTCGAAAAAAAATATTCCCTTGAATTCGACAGTTGTAGGAAATTAATCCTACATTTCATTGCAGTTAAAAATTTCTGAGTCAGAAACATATATCTTGGGTGTTTCAAAGCACCATTCTTTTTTATTTGGTGTTTCTATAGAATATTTTAGAAACTTGAGGTTACATGGTTACTAAAGCTTGTACACAGGAAAAAAAGGGGTGAACATTTGATTGGTTAACTTCCAGTGGTGGTTATTATCTTATATGCAATGAAATGTGTTGTGAAATTTTGTCTGTAGTACTGGCCAGGATAAAACTTTACTCATGCCAAGTATTTCTTTATTTGAAACAAAGATAAATTCTGCACAATTTTTTGAAAAGTGCAAATTTATAAGACTAATAGGGGAAAATCAATGGTGGTATTACACCTAACAAAAGTCAACAATTTGTTTTTATATTACTTTTTTTTGTATCCAATTCCTTGTATTTCCTGAATATTTTTTAACTGCTCCTTGTTTTTACACTAAATATATTATCTGCTGTTGCAGTTTCTAATTATTATAAGTTGAAATATTCAATTATTTTTTTCAGAATAATACATGTATTATCATTGAATGAAAAGGGAAGGAACACGAAAATTGGAATGGCGTCATAAACCAACGTTATCGTTGTTGGCTAATAAAAATTATTTATAGGTACACGTTAGTTGATCGAAATCTTAAATTAACCTCTCATATTTCCGGTGGTGGATATAATGTTTTATCAAAGAAGATTCCCTATGCTTTAGCTAATGAGAAAAGAGAAGTTTTAAAAGTCATATAATACATTTTAATATGTGTCAATAATTGACACCCACCGCTATGATTTGCACTGAATAAATATACATTACATTTATATATCTTATATTTTGGTATCATGTAATCTGGTTAGGATAAGATATCGTACACATTTGAGTATTCCCTAAACAAGGAATTTACAATTTGTGTTAAATTCATTGACAAATATTTGGCTTTTGATATTTTCATATCGGCTGAGCTTTTAGGCATCTACCGGTTCATTTTCTTTTAAAAATAAGATGTGTTGTACTCAAAATAACTGTTACATGTAAAACAATTATCATTAGGGCCTTTCATGTGTCTGTTAACAACCTGAGCATACCTGTTTGTAAGTTTATAAACGAGAGACAAAAGACAAAAAAAAGGATAATTAAACTCATAAGTCGAAAATTAACTGACAATGCCAGGAAAAAAAAACACGAAATCATATATATTCGAAAGTAGGAAACTTTAAATGGCCATGGTATGATGTTTAGTGTATGAAATTTAATACATTTTAAATGTCTCACTAAAAGAAGTTAAAATAGTTTGATCACGCTGATAATATCATGATATGTTTACATGTATATAGTTTCATGTTGCAGTATTGATTATATTAATAATAAAAACTCATCAGAGAAACCGGATGCTATGGTACATTAGACGCGCGTTTCGACTACATAATAAATCATTCAAATATTCAATTTAATTTTCTTAGATTTAGACGTTTATTTTGACTTACAAGCAGAAATACAAGTGAATCCTCTGCTTGAATCTCGATCTTTAACACACTTCTGTCCTGTGGCACAGTTGTGGTCTGCGCAAACTCCCGCGAAAGACTGAAAGATCCAAATATCAAAGAATAAAATTACTACTTAAAACTGAAGAAATTGAGAACAGTAAATTAAAAACATACCTTGTTGTGTCTTCAATAGTTGTGACAAGACCAGATTGAAATAATAACAAAATAAGTCAGGTTAAAATGAAACTTTCCTTTCATATTATGGAACTGAGGACAGGGGGCACTTAAGGTCATTTGTTGTGTTGTGTGTTCAATATTTATTTTCTTTTTATGTAAATATCATGATTAAATTGTTGTTACATGCAATCGTAAGTTTTATTATGAATTTGACCATCTTATGGATGTAGCTTGTGCTTACTAAAGTTATTTATATAGTATTCCTAAAACACTGACTGTGTTGCATTACAGAAGTTGTTTAATATCAAATGAAAAACAACCCTTCACATTGAAAATGAGGCGGACGGTAAGAGTTTATGTATATATGAATTAAGGAAAAAAAAACGCTATTGTTCGAAAAAAAAATGTCCTCAAACTTACTGCTTCAATAAAGCAACAACTTATAAAGGTTATGCGATAAATCATTAAAGTTTTAGTGGAGCCAACATA